GCTTAGTGAATTTATCGATTTGTCTTTGTCGGCTTAGTGAAGTTTGCTTAGAAAAGTGTGCTTTCGATTTGTTTATGTGCAGAATGGAAGACCCGATTGAGCTCATTTTATGTCATGGAGGATATATGGATATGACAGGGGCTGTTCCAAAGTACGTTGGAGGTGATGAAGATGTGGTGAACATGGTTGTCGATGTATTGTCCTATTTCGAGCTAACAAAGACTCTAATTGAAGATTTAGAGTATGTCTCCGTGGAAAGGCTTTGGTACTTGACTCCGGGTAAAAGTATGGCCACTGGATTGCACGAAATTCATTCAGACGCGGAGGTTATGAATGGATTACTCCCATGTGTAGCTAAAGGACAGGTGAGGGTCTACTTTGAAGCAACAAAAGACTTGGTTGATGATGGATTTATGGGTGACAACTACGGCCATGAGCATGATGGTTCTGATGAGGATGGTGAAAACTCGGCTGTACCTGAGTTTGTTCGAGTAGGGGAAGAAGATGATGCCCAAACATCTGATGAAGAGTACCATGAAATCAGGCAGAAGGTTCGAAACAGGAGACAGAAATATAGAGCTCAGATTCAGGATTCTGGTGAGGAGGTTGATCAAGTGGTATTGGAGGAGGATGAGGGCAGTGAGGGCAGTGAGGGCAGTGAGAATGGAGGGCAGAATGAGCCTGGAAGTGAAGAGCATAATGTGGGCAGTGGGAATGGAGGGCAGAATGTGGGGGATCAAGCTGGTGAAGATGATGCAAATAGTGGGGGATCAATGGAAACAGAGTATAGGGGATCAGAGTACTCTGCTCACGTTAGAGGCAACATTGGTGAACAAGATAATGTCACCAAGTTTGACAAATCCTTGCTATATGATCCTAAGTGCGATCATAAAGCATTGAAGTTTGTTCCTTGTATGCGCTTTAAATCCCCTGAGCAGTTTAAGGCAGCTGTAATGAGGCAATCCATTGTGATTGGTGCTGATATCAGATGGGTAAGGAGCAGTGACTTTAGGAAGGAAGCTGTGTGTGCGCAAAGGAAAGAATTCAAATGTGGCTGGAGGGTATATGCAAGTTGGTTTCGTAAGAACGAAACATTTATGGTTAAAGGAGTTGGAACAGCTCACAGTTGCCCTCGTTCACTTCACATTCGGGCAGCAGGTCAGAGGTGGATAGCAGAAGAATTTATCGAGACATTTAGGGCAAATCAGGGTTGGGATGTAGGCCTAATAGCTGCTGAAATTAAGCGGAAGTACAATTTGGTTGTGACAAACCAAACCTGCTACCGAGCTAGGCTAGAAGCGCGTCGCATGTTATATGGATCACTTGAAGAAGATTTTGCTCAGATTAGATCATATATAGGACATCTTCTGAAATTTGACCCGCAAGGTTCCTTCCTTCTAGAGGTGGATGTAGATCCGGGTTGTGACAAGGTGTTCTTCAAGAGGCTCTATATTGGCTTCTCCAGTTTGAGCAAAGGATTCCTGGCAGGATGTAGGCCCTTCTTCTGCCTCGATGGTTGTTTTTTAAAGGGGGAGGTTCAAGGAATGCTTCTGGCTGCAGTTGGTAAGGATGGGAACAATCACATGTTCCCAATTGCATGGGCAATAGTGGAGTCTGAGAACAAATCATCTTGGATTTGGTTCATAAATGCCTTGCAAAATCAACTTGGGACTGAAGACGGTAGTGGGTTTACTATAGTCTCAGACCAACAGAAGGTAACTACTTTACTTATTATGACTATTTGAATACCTAAATTTAAATCCCACGCATCTCCTAACTTCGATTGTTTAACACAGGGGCTTGTAGAGGCTCTACATGCCTGCTTGCCAAATGCAGAACACCGGAAATGTGCTCGGCATGTTCATGCTCACTTTCGGGAGAAGCACAAGACGGCAGCAGCTACTGATTTGTTTTGGGAAGCTGTTTACTCCCTCAATAACTCTGATTGGACAGATGCCATGGTTCGAATGAAAGGCCTTGGTGGGACTGAGTATGCTGATTTTATGGCTCAGGTAATCTTTCTTGCAGTCAACTTTCCTTGCTTTGCTTATATTCAAATTAAAGCATAATCTAACATACAATTCACTCTCCAGGAACCAGAGCACTTCTGTCGTGTGTTCATGAAGACATTCTCCAAGAGTGACTCGGTGGAGAGCAACATATGCGAGTCATTCAATAACTGGATATTGCGATTCAGGTCTCTGAGACCGATTGCAATGTTGGAGGGAATTCGAGTGTCTGTTATGACTCGACTAGTGAAGAACCGCCGGAAGATGGAGCGATGGAATGACACTTTCCCACCTGTGGTCAGGGGAAAACTGGAAAAGTCAAAGCATGAAGCGCGAATGTGCACTAGTCATCCTTCATCTGAGACGATGCATGAGGTTGCTGTCGAGAACAAGGCCTTCGTGGTTGACCTGAAGAACCGGACTTGCACATGCGGTTGGTGGGCATTAAATGGTATTCCTTGCAGTCATGCGTTTGCATCCATCAGAAGCATGCGAGGACTTCCGGATTCTTATGTTGATGGCTTCTTCAAGATGGAGTTTGTGAAAAAGGCATACAAGTTTCCCATTCCAGCATCGGAAGGTCGACAAGCATGGCTGCCCGTCTTTGGGAACAAGGTGTACCCTCCTCGGATTAGGCGCATGCCTGGTCGTCCAAAGACAAAACGTCGGAGGGAGGCTTGGGAGATACGAAGCAAGCAAGCTAAAAATGGAATTGGAGAGGTTGCTAGTAGGGAGAATATCTCGATTCATTGTGGGAAATGTGGTGGAGAAGGCCACAATTCGAGGACATGCAAGAATGAGCCTGCTGCCCCCAAGGCTGCAGCTCCTAAGAAGAAGAAGCAAGCACGCCCGACTCCTCAAGCCCCTGTTCCTCAATCAAATCAAGACGCTGGAAGGGAGAATCAGGTAACTCGCAGAGGATCCTTTTAATACTTATTTGTTATTTGTTATTAATGTATATTAATGTAACATTTTACAGCAACCACGAGAAAAGAAGAAGGGTCGTTGCAGCAAGTGTAGATCAGAGCACCATAATGCAAGACGTTGTCCACTACTTGTAGGGATTCAGGTAACCAGCTTTTAACTATGTTACAATAATTGACTGAGTGAATGGAATGAATGAATGAATGGAATGAATGAATGGAATGAATGAATGGAATGAATGAAAGAATGAATGAATGGAATGAATGAAAGAATGAATGGAATGAATGAAATTCATAGCTGAATGTGCTGAATGTGTATGAAATTGTAGGCACCCCATGTTGGTTCGAGTAGTAAAAGGGTAACTGATCGTGAAATGAGAAGGGCGATGCAAGGTATTGGAACCTACATTGACATGGACACTGGAAACATGTATGCAAGGGTATGTAACAGAGTTTTAATGCTTATTGACAAAGTAGTGTTTGCTGTTACGGCTATTCCTAATATCCAGATCCTACTATTTTGCAGCTTAGTCACAGAGTGCCACCACCTGGTGGTGTACGAGCAACAGAACCAGACCAAGCTCCTGTCAATACCACACAGCCTCCCACTACTCAACCAGAGTCGCCTTAGGAAGTCAGAAGATGCTATGTTAGGAATTAGATAAGACTCCTATTTTGTGCGTGCTATGTGCATGTTACGGATCATTGTGATTCGTTGGAGTGTAGGTGTAGGTAGAAATATGTAAAGTAGGTCCAAAGTTAGGTAGTGCCCCTTTTGTAAATGGTCTAGAACTGAACCATGTCCTAAACTTAGGCACTACCTTGTCCTAAACTAAGGTAGTGCCCCTTTTGTAAATGGTCTAGAAATGAACCATGTCCTAAACTTATGAATGAATGAAGTTGTATGTGTTTGTCCCAATTGTGCTTCAATGAAAGAACATGGTAAGAGGAAGCAAATAAGGTAACATAATGGATCAGTTCATTGATTTCATAGGAAATTACACAAATTAGACAACAAGCTTACAATTGGACAATCACCAAAACAAAAAGAAAGATAACTACAACGATTACACAAGCGGTTAGCCGATTTTGTAGCGCACAAATCGCATTTCGCATACTTTGCAATTCACCGAAACAAGCTGAATTGATCTCGGTCACCTTCGTCAAGTCTTCAAGCAGTGCCAACTTGTCCTGTTTCCTCTTCTTCGCCTTCTCTTTTTCCCTACAAAGTTGTCCTTCAAAGGCCTCCAATGCCGACTTTAGCTGCTCATTCTCTTCCATAAGTCCACCAAGCATAAAGTCACTCTCTGTGACTGCATCAACCCAGCGAAAAAACCTGCAGTTCTTCTCTTCATCCTTCCAATACGGGCAAGAATAAAACAATCTCCCAGGATTGTCGTCTGTTCGAGAAGTGTTGACAACGCAAGGGGCTCGGTGGAAGTTGCATCTTATGGGCTTCGTGGTTGACGAACCAGAAGAGGATGAAGCTTTGGTGGCAATTTTCCCAACTCGCCTGGACATTATTGTACAGAGGGGTATGAAGAGAGCTCGAGATGGGTCTGGTAGAAAGGAAGAAGAGATCGCGAAAGGGGTCTCGGGCCGTTTTTGGATAGAAAGGAAGAAAGAAGGGAGCTCGATTTCGTTTGGGATGTGGAGGCGGTGGGTCGTCGGGGAGAAGGGATTTGTTTCGGATATGGAGGCGGCGGGTCGTCGGGGAGAAGGGATTTGTTTTCGTCGGAGGGAAAGGAGGCGGCGTCTCGTCGGGGAAGAAGGAGGAAGAAGATGGAATAGGGTTGGGTTTGATCGAAAAGGAAAGAAGTGAGGGGATAAGGTGGGGATGGGTGGGCCAAATTTTTCGGATTTTGTTTTTTTTTTTTTAATTAATCAATTTTTTGTAAATGAAATAAAAAAAATGATTATTTATGTTGACATGGCGGTGACCTGGACAGTTGACTAACGGTCAACGGTGTTGACCGTCCAAACAAACGGTCAAACCAGGCTCCAGGCCAATTTTGTCAACATGCTGCATAGATCGGGCCAGGATGTTAATTTCTCAAACCATTGGCCAAAGTTGATTACTTGGTCATAGTTCAGGCCATAACAAGGTATTAACCCTAAAGAATATGTACAAAACAGTGTAGGTATAATCTAAAACTGTACCATAACATTGAATGTACAATTTCAAGTTGTACCATAAAAGTAAAAACCTATAGCACCAATACTATATAGTATTGTAAAATTCCTCGATAACATTGTCGAAAACACCTTAACTAATACCAAGAGTTATAATCGTGAGGTACAATGAAACTTTCGCAATCCGCTCACCAAACAGAAAAGGGAAACAAAAATAATGCAGGCAGGAAAGTTAAGTCAATGGTACCGCCGCACTTTAATTTCTCTCCACAGAATAGGCGACCGGGCCAGAATTTTTCCTGGCCGGAAACGCAGACAACTTATTATTACACAATTTCTTCTATTTGGTGGCGGGAGGAAAAGGAGAAGGAAGGAAAATTTTATCAATTAATACAGAGTAATAGTAATCACCGGAAAATCGGGGATTTCCTAAGATGATAATTAAAATAATTATTTCTTGTCATCTTTTTTGTCGTCCTTCTTGGGCTCACCATCACCACCATCCTTCTTTTCTTCCTTCTTCTCTTCCTTGGCGGGACCGACGGAGACGATGTCCACTTTCCCCACTTTCTTCAGCTTCTTCACCACCGCCACCGTGTCCATCACCCCGATCACCGTCAGCTTCTGCTCCTTCAGATCCGCCGCTATCGAATCAACCCCTGCCGCCCAACAACAAACAACGAGATCAGTTGAATCTTGATTCAATCAGCTATCGCAACTTCCGTTCCGGAATCAGGAGTGGAAAAAAAAAAAAAGGAAAAGTTTGCTGTAAGTACCAAATATATCTGCGGCGGCCTCGATTGCCTTCTGCTTCGTCTTCTCGTCGGTCATGGTCAACACCTTCAGCACCACTTTCTGCTGCAGTCCCGAAAAGAAGAAATCGAATTCCAATTGACATCTCGACTCAGAATTTGATAGACGGGTGTGAAATCAATTGAAAGAAGAGGAAGTAAAGTTGAGCTTATTAAGTACCTGAGCCATGGCGGTGATCGATTGTGGAGAGGGAAGGGAGGATGTAGAAGAAGCAGCAGCAGAATTAATTGAGGGATGATGAGAAAGCGAGATTCTTATTCCCTTGTGTGAAGAAAAGAGAGAATTGAAAATCGGGAATTGGCTGGGGGAGGTAGTAATAGCTCAATAGGTATATTTATTTACTTATACAGAAGTCAAGGGATGGATAGGTGGGTTTTGACAGAATAAGTGCTTATTATGAGTTTATGACTGCTCAATAGTGTAAATAAGGTAACATAGATGAGGTCAGTAATCCTATGGTGAGTAATGTGTCCACATCAGTATCACTCTTTCTTCTGAAAAGTCTTTAATTTTTCTTTCTTTAATCTTTGACGGACGATTTCTCACTCGTTTTAAGTTGAAATTTAATTTTTTTGCACAGTTAGATCAAATTAATTATGCTCTACAAAATTATATCTACTTTGATATATTTTTGAAACAAAAAAATTGAGTCATTTTTTACCAGTCTATACCATATGGTATTGACCGATATTGAAATAAGAGCATACCTATGGTTTGAAAAGCGTACCATGGTGGTATGAACAAACCAAGACTGTAGGATGGTTGAATACATGATACTAGAAGTATATTAACTGTCATTTACGACTTTTAACATTGTGTACCACAAGATACCACCCCGTATCAGGGTGGTATTTTGTGGTCCTGTAATTTGTTCACCCAGAAATTTGTAGATCCAATAGATCATGATGAACTCGTTCCTTTTGTGCAAACATTTTCAAAAACGAATTAAAAACGAGAAAGATACCATATGGTATGCATTTGGTACCGAGAGGCAAGAGTTTCTTTTTTCTAAAAAATATTAAAAATGGATATCGATTTGTTGAGCTCAACGAACTCGTTCCATCTGTGCAAAAAAAAAAAAATTCGAGTTAAAACGAAGAAGATATGAGCCGATTAAGAAAAGTAGGAAAAATAAAAATAACATTTAATTCTCTATCCTTAGATCTGGGTTTTCTAAATGAAGAGTTCAGATTTAGTTATTAATGAGTGTATAACCTTGATCATGTAAATAGTGAGTGGCCATAAATCCAATTACCTTCTTAGTGTAATCAACCCACTTACTGTACTTGAGTTGTCCTTTCTCATTAATGGGCATGTTTTTCATTAAACTTTCCCCCTCTTATTAGACTTTGATCAGATACCTTTGTTATTTGGGTAAATTTATTATTACGGAATATTAGTGGTACTTACTTCTAAGTTCATCAAGAGATTGCCGGTCAGATAGTTCTCAGACTTTGGGACAAGTTAGAGTGCTAACTCTATAAGAATTAGCACATGCTAATTATTCTGATCACCGTTGATTACTTTGTAATTAAATCTGATGGTGTGGAGTAACAAGGGCATATTCGGTATAATAATAAATTAATTTAATAAATATGTGCATATTAATTTAATAAATATTGGAAAATTTATTTATTAAATAATTTAATTTTGAATATCTCTCTTCTTTTTAATAGATATTTTTTACGTAAAAAATATTACTACTAACAAATGACTACTACTTAAATTAGTAGTAGTTTTAATGGTTATAGTAGCGATTTTAGATTTTCTTGTTGTGATTTAACAATTTTCTTGTAGTGATTTCATTGTCATCAGGAGTGATTCATGAATTTATTGTACTGATTTATATTTTTTGTATAATGATTAGTTGTCGCCATCGATCTGTACAAAGAAAAAGTTACCAAAAAACCACTACTACACCATAAATCCTCTATCAGATCTGTAAAATCACTACTACTATAAACCATTGCCATTGAGAATCATTACCACAACATGAAAAATTAGTACTACAAATCTGAAAATTAGTACTACAGATCTGTAAAAATCCCCATTGCCATTTTGCTTCCGTGTGTACAATCACTTTACGTATAGAGACGATTGGGGTGGATATCTGAGCAGGAAGGGAGACGCAAGTATGATCCCCCAAGTTGTCGAGAGGTGGAGTTTCACCAACATAGAGAGACGTTGGGGGCAGCATCAGCATTGCTTCGACAGAATCGGCTTCGTTGTGGTGCCGTGGTGACACGGTTGAGTCGAAATGGATTTTCTCGTTGCGGCAGAATCAACATCATTGGGGCGTCCTGTTCGTCGATGATGGCGAGACAGGCGCGGGGCGGTGGCGAGGCAGATGTCGGGGCGGACTAGGCCGTCGCGATTAAGGGCAACGCTTGCTTTTTCGGCTTCGGCCGAAGATTTGGTTGCTTCATACTGAGAGAGAAGAAGACAGTTTCTTTGATTGAGAGAGAGAGAGGACGGGAGAGAGTGGGCGACTGTGGGAAATGATAGGCAAAATTTAGTATTTATATTAGGATTTAATGGAGTATTAACCAAATTATCCTTCATTTAATTTTGAGTCTAGAATTATTTTTTAATCTAATGGTCATTAATTTAGTTAGTATGGTGCTAACCCATTAGCAACTAATCTCATCCCGTAGACTTCACATGAAGCTTCTGCCTTTGTCCAAAACGATTAATCAAAGCAATGGCATGGTAGTGGCCTTTCCGTGCGTGCATGAGTCTGAAAGTTATTATAGTTTTATTATATTTGTAGTTGCAATAGAGTTGTGATGAAAGTACAATGTCAACAACATGAAAATAGGAAATTGAAATATGTATAGTTGATAATTTCGAAAACTAATAAAGGTTGACAACCACAAGTAGAAATGTGTTTAATTACTTATTTAGACCCTGTTTTGTATCAACATGAAGAGGAAAGTACAAAATAATGAAAGGAATGGTGTAACTTTACAAGTTATAAGAAACTTGAAGGAGGAAAAAATGTGAAAAGTGAATATAAGATTACAGGGTGTGAAAACGGGGAGTAAATTGTGTTTAATGTTATGGTACAAATTCAAGTTGTACTTATATATTTTTGTACAAATTTATTTACGATAGAAACTGAAAATGTATATTAACCTTTAGGTAGAACTTCAATTTATACGCATACATTTTCATACAAATTATTTTATTGTACAAACTAAACTTGTACTTCTAACGTTATACTACAAATTCGATTTGTACATGGAACCACCGGTGCTTATCATATAAAATTCCTCTTACTATATGGGTCAAGTGATTTAAACATGGCGATGACAATTAACCGTCATGGCAAATTGAGTTAGACATGTTGATAAGCCCATTTATAAAATAATAGAAGCCCAATCAAACAAGGCTTCTTTTGAAGGACGCATCTGAGTTTGATACTGGCCTGAGAGGAAAATCGGCCTCTCAACAATGGATAGGAAGGCCGACATCAAATTGAAGCGAGTGAATGATGGGCCTGCGGATCATACAGAAGTAAGGACCAAACGTGCTCGACGTGATGGGCCGTCTCGTGGCTGAAAAGAAGGCCCAACCAATGAAGTTAGCTGCTGCTCACGTAGCTGTAGGATTTGATTTCGTTTCAGTTGTTACTCGGATTGTTTCAGTAGTTGTTAGGATTTGATTTCGTAGGTGTAAGGAGATCAATAGGATTCTCCAAATCGTAGGAGATCGGGGTGTCAGTTTGTGAACCCGATCGCTAAGCTTTCCTCTATATATAAGAGGATTGAATGGAATAAAGAACAACAGATGATTTTCCCAGAAAAACAGAGCCCCAAAGCTGGCCAGTTCTCGCCATAAAGAGAACGCAATCACTCCCCTGATCACCAAGTTTCAACATTTGGTATCAGAGCCTGGTTCCATGGCTCCCAAGCCCGCTGCCGACAAGGAGAGGATGGAATCTTTGGAGGCTAACCTGGAGGCTCTTCAGGTAGCAATCCAAACTGCCATTCCCGATGACGTACGCCGGGTTGAAAACTCAGTCGCTGTGTTGGGGGGTTCTGTCGCTGATTTAGGAGGACGTTTGCAGGCCCTCGAGGGTCACTAGGCCGCCACCCAGACCAGCTTAGACGAGATCCTTCGTCTACTCCAGCAGCGCGGCCTTCCCACCTCCGAAGCTGACCGCTCCTCGGCGGGGTCGAGCCTCCAGTTCCTTCGAACCGATGGACACGAAGATCGCACGGAGGAAGAACGAGACGATCGACGTGAAGGCCGACGAGAAGGTCCACGTAACGCACGTGAGGATCGACGGAGAGTCCACGAGTACTACGAACGTGGAGAAGATCAACACCGTCATGGGCGGTACGACCGTCGTGAGGATCCTCAACGACCGATGTTTCCGTCCCGATACACTAAGTTAGAGTTTCCCCAATTTGAAGGGAACGACCCGACCGAGTGGTTCACTAGGGTGGACCAATTCTTTGAATATCAAAACGTGGACGAAGACCAAAAGGTTCCACTCGCCTCTTATCACTTGGAAGGGGAGGCTAATCAGTGGTGGCGTTGGTTGCAGAAATCATATATTCAAGACGGCATCCAGGTCACTTGGGAATTATTTTCCAGTGAATTATGGACCCGCTTTGGGCCGGCCGATGAAGATGATGCTGATGAAGCCCTCTCCCGAATCCGCCAAACTGGAAGCCTACGTGATTACCAACGAGAGTTCGAGCGTTTAGGAAATAAAGTGCACGGATGGACGCAAAAGGCACTTATCAGTGCGTTCATGGGAGGACTACGACCGGAAATATCGGAAACACTCCGTCTTTTCCGCCCCGATTCTCTTAAGGAGGCAATTCGTCTAGATCGCATTCGTGATGATCAGCTGCGACGTGCAAAGCTTCCGATGAAAGCAACACCACGAACTGGGAATGATGGTGTTCGTCCTTCCGAGGACCCCCGCGCGTGTTCGTCCACAACCAGCTCGACGAATCCCTTGGGAGGAACAGATACGACGCCGTGAAGCCGGCCTCTGCTTTAATTGCATGAGAAGTTTGTTCCGGGTCATCGATGTAAACGACCGGCGTTGCTCCTCTACGATGGAGCTGACGAGGAGGATTACGAGCAGGAGGAGCCAGAGATCTCCATACATGCGTTGAATGGGGTAAGTGCGGGCCGTACGATGCGTCTTTGGGCCAAAATAGGCCCGGCCCAGCTCATGGTGTTGGTTGACAGTGGGTCGACCCATAATTTTGTTGCTTCTAGAGTCGCGGGCCGTTGCCAATTACCGGTGACTCACGTCAAGAATTTTGACGTCAAAATTGCAAGTGGAAAGCCACTGCCATGCAACTCAAGACACGACAATGTGACTCTATCCATGCAAGGAATAGAATTTTCACTTTCCCTCTACGCCATCAACCTCGTGGGAGTTGATATAGTGCTGGGAACTCAATGGTTAGTATCACTGGGGGATATTACGTGCAACTGGAAGGAATTAACTATGGAATTCAATTGGCTGGGTCAACGGAGGAAGCTCACAGGTCTAACTCCCCGGGTCCGTGCAGCTGAATCGATGGATAGCCTTTTCAAAGATCTACGCCAAGGAGTCCTGTACGCACTCTGCGTACCCGCCACTAATGATGGACCACTCCACCAAATTCCAGGTGAATTTCAGGACATGATCCACGAGTTCGGAGACCTGTTTATGGAGCCAACGACCCTGCCACCGCCATGGTCCATTACCCATCGCCTCCAGCTCAAAGACGGCGCCGAGGCAGTCAACGTTCGTCCATATCGTTATGCTCACTATCAAAAGGAGGAAATCGAGACTCAAGTTAACAAAATGCTGATGGAAGGACTCATTCAACCAAGTACAAGCCCATTTTCGTCACCAGTCTTGTTAGTCAAGAAAAAAGATGGGACATGGAGGTTCTGCACGGATGATCGAGCTTTGAATGCAGTCACGATCAAAAACCGATTTCCCATCCCTACTGTCGATGACATGCTGGATGAGTTACACGGGGCTATATACTTTACCAAACTTGACTTGCGAGCCGGCTATCATCAGGTTAGGATGCATTGGGAGGATGTGTCCAAAACCGCATTTCGAACCCATAATGGCCATTACGAGTACCTCGTAATGCCATTTGGGCTATGTAATGCCCCATCCACTTTCCAAGCTTTGATGAATGACATCTTTAGAGCTCATCTACGCAAATTCGTCTTGGTATTCTTCGATGACATCCTCGTCTATAGCAAGGATAAAGCCTCCCATTTGGATCATCTTTGCCAGGTATTTAACATACTTCGTCAACACCAGCTCTATGTGAAGTTCTCCAAGTGTGAAATTTGCCTCCATGAGCTCGAATATCTTGGTCACATCATTACTACAACAGGAGTCAAGGTCGATCCGGCCAAAATACATGCCAACAGGAGTCAAGGTCACATCATTACTAATATTACCGAGCTCCGGGGCTTTCTTGGGCTTACCGGTTACTACCGGATGTTCGTTCGCAATTACGGCCTCATAGCTCGCTCGCTCACCCAACTTCTCAGAAAGGGGCAGTTCGTATGGACGCCGGAAGCAACCCAAGCCTTCGAGGATCTCAAGAAGGCCATGACGACGACTCCAACGTTAGCCATGCCAGATTTTACCAAACCTTTCATCGTCGAGACTGACGCTTCCGGGCAAGGACTTGGGGCCGTCCAAATTCAAGAGGAACGACCCATTGCGTTCATGAGTCGAGCTTTGAGCCCTCAAAAGCTGGGATTATCAGCTTATGCAAAAGAAATGATGGCGGTAGTGGCAGCAGTTCAACTATGGCGGCCATATCTCCTCGGGCGCAAATTCTTCATTCGAACGGACCAACGGAGCTTGCGTTTCCTGTTAGAGCAACGAATCACGATGCCAGAACAACAAAAATGGGTTAGCAAGCTATTGAGATACGATTATGAAATTTTGTACAGGCCAGGCCGAGAAAACCAGGCGGCAGATGCATTATCTCGCCAACCCATGTCTAGTGATGAGTCACTTGCTTGGCCATCCCAAACAAAGAGCCCAGATAAATTAACTAATGACCATTTGATGATTGGACCAAATGAAATACTTGGCCCACGTGAGCAATCTACCCAAGAAGCGCCTGAACTCCTCTCTATCACCGCCAAACTTTTCGCCACTAGCTCCGGCAATTCATCTGCGGAAGACTTCGAGGATAAGGGTGACTGCTCCGAAAAGGTTTCAGAGGATAATCAACAAACTGCGGCGGATAAATCATGGGCAATCTCCCATTCGTTCACGAATCTTGGGGAAGCCCTGGAAAAGGCAGCCGAGGATGACCCTTACCTGCAGGGAATCATTGAGAAAGCCAAATCTCAAAATCCCGGGCATTTTTCGGTGAAAGGCGGAATGGCTCTCTACGACGAACGAGTGGTTCTCTCACCCGACTCCCCTCTTGTGCTCCAACTGTTGCAGGAATATCACACCACACCCGCCGGTGGGCATTCGGGAGTTCTCCGCACCTACAAGCGCCTGGCCTCACAATTTTTCTGGCCAGGGATGTTGGAATCTGTCAAGCGATTTGTTGCAAATTGCGATGTATGCCAAAGAGCGAAGACCCAGTCCCTAGCCCCTGCAGGATTGCTCCAACCCCTGCCTATTCCAAAGCTGATCTGGGACGAGCTTTCCATGGACTTCATCGATGGGCTGCCTACATCCTCCGGCAAGACAGTCATACTAGTGGTTGTCGATCGATTGTCAAAATCAGCCCACTTCATAGGACTCTCACATCCCTACTCCGCCAAGACGGTTGCGGATGCGCTCATCAATGGAGTAGTCAAACTACACGGCATCCCTCGATCCATTGTAAGTGACCGTGACCCTGTCTTTGTGAGCAATTTTTGGCGTGAGCTATTCAGAATGTCAGGCACAACACTAGCCATGTCCTCCTCTTACCATCCGCAAACGGATGGGCAGACTGAGGTGGTGAACGGAGTTTGGAACAATACCTACGTTGCTTCACTCACCAACAACCACGTCGCTGGATGACCTACCTACCCTGGGCTGAATTCTGGTTTAATACTACCTATAATCGGTCAATCGGGACGACCCCTTTTCAGGCAGTTTACGAGAGAGCTCCCCCAAGTGTTCCCTTTTATACCAAAGATGGTACTGCTGTCCACGCTGTGGACCAAGCATTGATGGACCGCAATGAGGTGCTACAGGACCTGCGAATCAACCTCCAGAATACCCAGACTCGCATGAAGCAACAAGCCGATGCAGGACGAAGAGAGGAATCATTTGAAGTAGGAGATGCTATCTTCCTGCGCCTGCAGCCTTACCGACAGCATTCACTCTACCGCCGAGCCTCGCAGAAGGTGGCAGCGCGTTTCCATGGACCTTATCGCATCACCGAAAGAGTGGGGCCAGTAGCATATCGGGTCGGGCTGCCCCCAGGTTCCCGAGTCCATCCCGTCTTCCACGTCTCAATCCTGCGCCGTTGCACAACACCTGATACGGCCATCAACCACACCATTCCTCCAATTGCTGATGATGGATCTCTAGAGCTAGTGCCCGAGTCCATTATGGACACTCGTTGGTTGCGACGAGGGAACAAGTTTGTCGAGGAATTGCTGGTAAAGTGGTACGGGCTACCAAATGAAGATGCCACCTGGGAACTCACTTCTGACCTGTTTGAGCGCTTCGATGATGCAAGCCTTGGGGACAAGTAGGGGTGTACTTGGGTCGGGTGGTTCGGGTTTAGCCATTTTAATCACCCGACCCATGCACTACGGTTTGGAAAATATTAAAACCAAACCCAACCCAAAAAATTAAAACCCTACGGTTTGTTTTCAATTGGGTTGGGTCGGGTTGGCGATATTTTTAAGTAAAAACCCAACCCAACACAAAATATGTAATTATTCTACACCATAAAAATATTTTTATAACTAATTAAAATTTCAAACCAATAAACCGAGGTGAAAGGTATCGAAATTCACAAATTTTGTTTGAATTTTAATAAAATATAATTTACTTCAATATATGTCAATAGTTTTTTTTCCACAATATTTGTTTGAATAGGCTAAATAGGTTATAAACAAACACATCCATAATATGTTATTCTATTAAAATTGTACACAAGAAAAAGGATTACGTGAATCATAGCTATATTAAATCTATGTCTAAATTTTAAGTCGATGAGGAAAACCATGGGAGAAAAACATGGCAAAATATCTTAATTTTCTTATAAGTATGGTTATATACGACATAAATATTTTTTGTACACGAACTCATACTAATAGTTGGAACACGGGTTGGGTCGGGTTCGACGGGTTGTGTAATCCAAAATCCAAACCCAACCCAAAAGAGGCGGGTTGTACAAAAGAAAACCCTCACCCAACCCAAAACCTTAGTTTTAGCGATAAATACGGGTGGGTTGGACGGGTAGGTCGGTTTGCGGGTGTATTTGTTCACCCCTAGGGACAAGGCTATTCTTCCAGGCGGGGCAATGATGGGCCTGCGGATCATACAGAAGTAAGGACCAAACGTGCTCGACGTGATGGGCCGTCTCGTGGCTGAAAAGAAGGCCCAATCAATGAAGTTAGCTGCTGCTCACGTAGCTGTAGGATTTGATTTCATTTGATTGGTTTCAGTTGTTACTCGGATTGTTTCAGTAGTTGTTAGGATTTGATTTCGTAGGTGTAGGGAGATCAATAGGATTCTCCAAATCGTAGGAGATCGGGGTGCAGTTTGTGAACCCGATCGCTAAGCTTTCCTCTCTATATAAGAGGATTGAATGGAATAAAGAGCAGCAGATGATTTTCCCAGAAAAACAGAGTCCCAAAGCTGGCCAGTTCTCCCATAAAGAAAACGCAATCACTCCCCTGATCACCAAGTTTCAACAGTGAAATTGAAAGAGTAAAAGATCAACTCAATTTTCAAAGCTGCCCCGGATAACTTTTGCTATAAACAACTGGATTCAACAGTTTCCCTAAACATAAATCAACACGAAAAGCCTCTAGCACCTAATTTGATATCACATAGTTCATTCAATCTTTAACTTCTCTGCTCCTGCCACAAAAACAATTTTTTTCAATAACAAACATAAAATAATTAGCTCCGGATACCGGAATCGCAGCAACATTGAGACAAACGAATGATACGATACAAAAATCGCAACGGTTACAACGAATAGAGATGGAGGTGAAACAAGAAAGGAATTACTGGCAAAGCTTCTCAGCGTGTCACATGATGGAGCAGGCATGGGGATTGTCGTCGCTGAAGAGCGAGGCGACGGCCTCGTCGGAGGCTACCGCGACGGAGTAGACCGCCGGAGTCTGGAAGAAAGTGTGGACGCTGCTGTTGCTGCCGACGTTCTTGTAAGGGTCGTAGTAATGGTTGACGATGTAGGTCGGGTACTTGTAGAACGACGAGAAGTGCGCGTATCCCGGGAACGGCCAAGGTTCCGCTGCTTTGCCGGCGCGTTTGATTGCCTTCAAAACCTTCTTCTCTTCCAACGAATATCCTCTCACCGTCACCTTCTGATTCTCCATTTCCACTTCTACTTCTTCTACGCCTGTCAACTTGTCAAGGAGCAAATACGAGTGTCATGTCCCTTGTTCATGTTCTGATTTCACATATGGGCCAGGGCCCATGCCAGGGGACGAGTAAGCAAGAACCGCTAGTTGGGCCGAGTCCATTGGTCCAAAATGGGGATGGAAAGAAGGGCAAAAAGGTTTTCTTCGTATCAAACGAAAATAGTTCCATTCGTTTCCTTTGTCATCAAAATTAGCTATGTAGCAAAACTAAATGGAGTATCAAGAGAGACATCTTTGTTACCAATCCGATATCAGCGTGAGACTAGTTCAATGTAATTTTCTAGAGTCAAAATATGTTTTCAGCAACGAAGCAGACGCAAAATCAGTAAAGTTAATAATTTATCAATTTAATATTATAGAATATTAAATTGAAATCATAATTTTTTTTATTCAACAAAAAATAGTAAATTTAGAATGAAATTAGTCGATAGTGGACCGCGTAAAATCGATAAAGCTGGAAAATAAAGAAGATGAAACAAAATTAGAATTAGTAATTCATGTTGGATGATCTTGGTTTATACAAAAATATTTATTTCTTAATTTTTTCGTGGTTAAAACTTAAAACAGTAAATCAATGAATAAGTGAAACTATAGTGTTTCATTTGGTTTCAAGTCCAACTATTTAAAACCATTTGGTCCGTCTTTAGCCATTCCAGAAAATAAACTGAACTGCTACCGGAACTGATTTGGCGATTCTACAGATCCAACTACTCATCCAGTTCGATTTTCAAACAAAGGGACTATGTACAACGGAAATCGTTCTATAACTTGCAAGAATTAGCAATCAAATGGAACGGAAGTAAAACAAAAAGCAAAAAAATGTTCATTCGAAATCGATTTGATTAGTGAAAAATAGGAATTAGGAACTCTATCAATATACAGTCTAATCTGATTGAAGCTGTGGTTTCACTCCCACACAAACAGTCTATCAACATAAAAGAAGCGCCATGTGCCTGCTCAAAAAGTAAGATACAGAAGGGATTGGATTACCTTTGAGCTTGAGCAGAGCTTTCCTGAGCTTGGAAGCGCAGCCTTCGCAGTCGAGGTTGGGAACTCTAACCTCCACCATCTGCACCACCAGCAACAAATTATACACACAAACGTACAACCCCCATTATATTAGCCCACCATTTTCAACAGTCATGGCGGAAAGTGGAGCGATAGAGCTAGCTAGCTACTTACAGACATGGCGGCCGGATGGGAAGCGGTCGAAACGGCAGAGACGAACGTGAAGTTGGGGAACAGGGGAAGTGAGAAGCGGGAAGGCCGAAGAAAAAGAAGAAGGGGAAGGGTGTGTTTCTTCTTCTTCTTGGGTAACGGAGCAGAGGAGAGGTTTCAGTTTTCACGCGTGGATGATTGATTATGTTTCTATCAGGAGGAGGAGAAAAAGCTAACCAGCGTGATTACAGACTACAGAGTACAGAGTGCCCTCCCTCTTTTTTATGCGCATTGGCCACCCCCCAACCCCAATGCCCCATAATAACCCACAAAACAAAAGAAAATAATGAAAAAGTAGGCTGGAGCTAGCTGCCTGCTAGCCGTGTATTGATGTTTCACTCTGTTTTGTGGTGGTGTTCTCACTTCTCACTTTCACACCTTTCTCCCAACTCAATTCATTCATTCAAGTTTTCTTTTTTTGGTACTCTTTATAAACATTTTTTTAGAAACTTTACTTGAAATTTAGATTACCCCGCGACAATAATAGAGAGATTTAACGCAATAAGAACGTGTTATACATATTCACTACAATGAGTCAATTTCACGTTTATTTTATTATATACTAGTAATTAAACATCAAATTATCATTAGAATTAGGGTTTGACGATTCAACACCCGCACCTATATGTTACAATTAGTTACAACATTATATATCCATGTCGTTTTGTTACTTGAAGCAGAGTAATTAACAATAGAATATTTCTTCCCACTCAGACAAATCATGTGATAATAAGGCTCCACAATTGAATTTGCCTGCCCCTCCAACACTCTTATTATTGCATCTCTTATTGTTATCCACTGCTCCTTCCGCAAATTGGCATTATTATTATTATTATTATTATTATTATTATTATTATTATTATTATTATTATTATTATCATTTCCCACAACCACCATTAAAGTTGGATAGCAATGATATTTTCTCTGTTTCTCAAATGATGATAAGGTATTCAAAATTTTCATTGAAACTTACAAGACGTTAGCAACATCGCGAGGGGGAAAAAATTGCTATCATTATGTGACTTTGTAAGCTCTCAACGACAGGGATGGAGCCAGGAATTTAGGTAAGGGGGGGCCGATAAAAATTTTGAAGTAAGAATTTATTATGTTATTTATTTTTCAACACAAATTATCAAAATATTGACACATAGAAGTCTATTTTTAACTAGTAGAAGATCTTTGTATAGAAAAGTTGGGGATGAGAAAGTCCGATACAAAGTAAGATAATGGGTAAAAAGTAAAAAACACTACTAAAATGGAAAACTTAGGTACCAAATCGTAAGGTATGCGAAATTTGGGACAAAAGGTGTACTAAAATGAAAACATTTGGTACCAAATCGCACATGCATAACTTGGGATTAAGAAGCAAAATTTCATGAATTTAAACTATTCATGCAAATTTAGGTACCAAATCGTAAGACAATGGGCAAAAAATGTACCCAAATGAAAAATTAGGTACCAAATCGTACAACATGCAAAATTTGAGCTTAGGAATCGAAATTTTACAAAATTAAAAGCTGCAGCTAGCAACAATCGAACCTAAGACCTCCCCTTCAAAATTATATGTTACACACCGCTAGACCACAGCTTGTGTTACTTATTCTTGGTGCAAAGTCGGATTTTAATATTTTAGGGGGGCCATGGCCCCCCCTGCTTACACGCTAGCTCCGTCCCTGCTCAACGAGATGCATACATAATGTTTGTCGATGTGTAAAATACGTTCATCATACCAATATATTTCGATTGGTATTCCTTAACCTTGTAAAATGAACATTCTGCTACAACGGTTTCAAATTTTGAATCATATTATTTATGAATGCTCAGCATCGTAATAATTAAGCTTCAACCGAGAAAAAAAAAAGAAATATTATTAGTTCCAAGTTCCAACTGTCACATTTTCGCAAGGCTCCTCTCAACATAATTGAAATGTTTTTGGTTGGAAAGTAATTAGCCCAGTGGGGGACAAGCAATATCATTTTGAATTCAAGTTTGGGAGCTAAGCCAGAAGCGCGCTAGAGAGAGAGAGAGAGATGTTGGGTTTTCTCTTCCTTTTTTCGTGGTAGTAAACCACCAACCCGCGAGCCTTCGGGCCTAGTTATTGCATGAAAAACAGGGGAAAAGTTGATCGACTTTCTCCACCGAAGCAGAGCTTTCATCAGCTTGGTCGCAGCAAAAGATCTAACATGCACAAGAACTCAGACCCAAAGTGCGCCTACCTTTTCTTCACAAAGCTAAAGGATGAAAAGGAAGTATACGGACAAAAAAAAGTAATGGAATCTGGGAAACCTGCTGCTGGGACTGTTGGATAAAGGGATACTCGTTACTCATATATGGTTCACTCTGTCTTGTGTTGTCTCCCGTCGGAACAAGGCAGGATGGAAGGGAATATTTTTGTCGTGATTTTGTTGGTGTTGCTTTGGGTGCAGAATGAGGAATAGTTGGTAATAATTAAGCATGGATTCATAAGAGGGGTATGAAGCAGAGTTACTTTTAAGCGGCGGATCTAGGACATAGTAGAGTACTGAGGTCGCATTTTAATAGAAAATTTGATACCGTAAAAAAATCACTTTTTAGCGGTGGATCTAGGACACAGTAGAGTACTGAGGTCGCATTTTAATAGAAAATTTGATACCGTAAAAAAATCATAGTTTTTTTTACAATATCAATTATACACGTCGATTTTTTAAATTTTCTTATAGTGAATTAATCAATAATGGAGATTACATCCATATCAATAGCATACTCTCTTTAAGATAAAATAGTTAACCAATAATCATAGGTTTTCTTACAATATCAATTGTACACGTCGATCTTTTAAATTTTAATATAGTGAATTCATCAATAATGGAGATTACATCCATACCAATAACATACTCTCTTTAAGATAAAATAGTTAACCAATTGGAGAGAAATTCATCGCTCATTTTGTTGCGCAAATATTTTTTTCACCTATTTCATTGTTGAAAAGGTTCTCTTCATAGTAAATGTTGAAACGAGCAATGTCAACACTGGACAAATCAATCGATTAATCAATATATATTGTGCAATTCCTATTTTTACCAGCTGCTCTAGTAATTTCTTAAGGGAATAAATCTCATATTTCTTTTAGTCTTTTACGTTTTAGAATTTTAGGTTTCATTTTTTGTTTCTTTAGATGAGAATCATTGAGTTAGAATTTCCAGGCTAAATTTAGAGTTGTGATTTGAATATGTTCATCTTATCCATTTTCCTAATTAAACACAATCTTATTATAAAATAACACTGGGCCGAATGGCTAAAATCGATATACTCATAAGGGCTATACTAGCTCCGGATCCAGAGGAGGGTTGGGTCGTGGCTCGGGGTGGTCACCCCTTGGATCTGCCACTGATCACGATCTTACCTGAACAACCTGCACTCTGCATTTTGCTGTGCAAGGAAGAAGAAATGTGTCGTTGCTAGGGATGACAATTTCGACCTGACCCGTTTTACCCGACCTGTTTGGCCTGTTTTGGGGCGAGTCTGACCCGCCCTGTAGGCCAGGCGAGGCGAGCATGGGTACTCTCATCGACCTGACCTGCCCTGACCCGGCCCATTCTCGACCGGTTCTTGCCTAAATTACATGTAATCTTAGTCAAATTACTTAGAAATTTTATTTATTACATCATAATTTAGCTATAATAAAGTTGTAAATTAGTGAAAATCTCAATTTCTCTAATAATTTAACTACATTTGGAGGAAGCAGCTTGGATCGAGATTGAGAGAGGAAGCCTTGCCATTAATGACGACTACCTGGAAGTATGCCTTACGACATCGTTTGAGAGACTTTATTATTTGTTTTTGTTAAGTTTGGATTGTCCTATAAGGACTCGGTTAGCACAAGTAGTATTTAAACCCTTTGTTATGTTAAGAGACTCATTCTTTTGGCTTTAATCAAATAAACCTAAGGGTTTGTGTTCTCTGGTTGATTCCGAAGGTGATATTCATGAAGCTTGCAACTGACGGGCTTGTTACTATTCTTGAGGATTCGTCGCTAGCGAGTTCGGTTGGTTTCCGACTGCATAAGGTGGTATCAGAGACTAGTTTTCTCCTGCCTCTTCTCGAAGCTTGATCAGCCATGGGAGATCAAGCAGTCGCACAGGCAGACCTCTGCCCTCACTACCCTAACGACACAAGTAAACACGTTGGCTGAGCGAGTCAACCACAACCTGGAAAGAGCCAACGTCTACCAGGAAAGGAGAGGAAGAGGTCAGAGAGACAAGCGTAGGCAAGAGGAGCCACCGAGGAGACAACGCGATGGCATGCCAGCACGCGTTGATTCCGAGTCTAGCTCAGAGGAGGATATCGGGGATGAGAACACAGACGACAAGAACCAGCATCACCACGACGACTATCAGGTGAAAGCCGATACCCCATTGTTCTATGGGACTATGGGAATTGAGGAATTCCTTGACTGGCAAATCAACGTCGACAGGTTCTTCGACGTAATGGGAGTACCTGAGAATAAACAAGTTAATATGGTGGCTATCCGACTGAAGAGCACCGCCGCCGTGTGGTGGGATAAATTAGTCGTTAAACGACAACGCCAATGGAAGACACAAATTTGAAACTGGAGGTGGATGAAGCATTTGATGATGGAATGGTTTTTACCAGACTACTGTGAGCAAATCCTGTACAAGATGTACCTTGACTGTTCAAAGGGGACAGACTTTGCATTCCTGTTTCCTCCTTACGCGAGCATCTTATTGGGAGCTGCATGGCGGCGGTCTCGTCGTGCATTTGGGTAGGGATAAGACGATCGCCAGCCTGGAAGAACGTTTTTATTGGCCTTATCTTCGGCGTGACGCGGGGGCAATCTACGACGTTGCTATGTGTGTCAAATATCCAAAGGTCAGTCGCAGAACACTAGCCTTGATATGCCACTTCCCGTCCCTGAGAATATTTGTCTCGACCTTTAGATGGATTTTGTGTTGGGGTTACCTCGAACTCAGCGCAACGTGGATTCAGTTTTTGTAGTGGTTGACTGCTTTTTCAAAATGTCCCGCTTCATTGCCTGCAAGAAGACAGCGGATGCCTCCAACATTGCCAAACTCTTCTTTAAGGAGGTTGTTCGCTTGCATGGGGTTCCTAAATCCATCACTTCTGATCGCGACACTAAGTTTCTCAGTAATTTATGGCTTACTTTATGGCGGTTGTTTGGTACTGCGCTGAACAGGAGATCTATGGCCCACCCTCAAACATATGGGCAGACGGAGGTCACGAACAGGAAGTTGGGGAACA